AGTTTGCCAGCCCCGAGGAAGGGCCCCGTGTAGCTCGAAAGCTGGGCTCTGAGTTGATATTCTCACCTAACTTGTCTCTACTGTCCTGGGACCGACACGGCTACCACAACACTGCATGGCCCTCCCGTGTCATTTACAATCCAAGTCGCTGGCGGACTCGCTGCCTTTCCGGACCCAGAGGGGTTCAGGAATTAAGAGGCAGCTGGGGAAACCTACTCACCCTGTGCAACAGAAATGATCAGGGGGATGGAACGGCTTCTATATGAGGAGACATTAATAAGACTGGGACTTTTCAGCTTGGAAAAGAGGGGACTGAGGGGGGATATGATAGAGGTCTGTAACATCAGGAATGGTGTGGAGACAGTGAACAAGGAAGTGCTATTTACTCCTCCTCATAATACAAGAACTAGGGGCCACCAAATGAAATAAACAGGCAGCAGGTTTAATACAAACACAAGGAAATATTTCTTCATGCAGCATATAGTCAACCTGTGGAACTCCTTGCCAGGGGATGTTGTGAGGACCAAAAGTGTAGGTGGGTTAAAAAAAGAACTAGATAAGTTTGTGGAGGATAGGTCCATCAATGGCTATTAGCCAGGATGGGCAGAGATGGTGTCCCTAAGCCTCTGAGTGCCAGAACCTGGGAATGGGCGTCAGGGGATGGATCACTCAATAATTGCCCTGTTCTGTCCATTCCCTCTGAAGCACCTGGCACTGGCCACTATCGGAAGACCGGATCCTGGGCTAGATGGACCTTTGGTCTGACCCAGTCTGGCCGTTCTTATGTTCTTCTGAGCCTGTCTCATTGACCTGTGATTTTTGCCTCCTGCACAGGGTGTCCGGGTGCCAAACCAGAGATCATCTGTCAGATGGAGTGTGGGGAAGAGCCGTGTGTGCGGGAGCCCCAGGGCTGGAGAGAGAGGAGATCCCAGAGCCCCTGCTCAGGTGAGTCATGAAGCAAACACCCTAAGAACACAGCCCATCCCATGACTCTTGTTTAGTGTTAGGAGTTCGCCTTTGTTCCAGCCGACGAAGTGATGTCTGGGCTCTCTCCTCTCTCCAGCAGGTGTTGGCATCACCATTAAAAAGGAGGAGCAGGAAGAGGGATGTCGTGGTCAGGAAGATCCCGAAGCCCTGGCCCCGCGGGGGACCGTATCCGGGGTAGTGGGGGAGAAAGGTCTCCAGCTCTTGGAACTAACGAGCTGCAAGAGCGAAAGCGGGTCCCGCCGGAAGCTGAGAGCCCAGGCCGGAGACCCTCAGGGGAGACGAACCGGGAGGGTGGCAGAGAGGCCTCATGCGTGCCCGAGCTGTGAGAAGAGCTTCAAGGACAGGACGGCTCTGATAATCCACCAGCGGATCCATACGGGCGAGAAGCCCTTCGCCTGCGCCGAGTGCGGGAAGCGCTTCACGCAGAAGCAGCACCTCACCACCCACCAGCGCACCCACACCGGGGAGCGCCCCTTCTCCTGTGCCCAGTGCGGCAGCAGCTTCCGGCTGAGAAAGGTCTTCCTGACCCACCAGCGGGTCCACGCCGGGGAGCTGCCCTTCACCTGCGCCGAGTGCGGGAAGATCTTCAACCACAAGCACCACCTGATCACCCACCGCCGCACCCACACGGGCGAGCGCCCCTTCCCCTGCGCCCAGTGCGGCAAGCGCTTCACCCAGAAGCACCATCTGCTGAGCCACCAGCGCAGCCACACGGGCACGCGGCCCTTCTCCTGCGCCCAGTGCGGGAAGAGCTTCAAGGACAAGACGCCGCTGAGCATCCACCAGCTCGTGCACACCGGGGAGAAGCCGTTCTCCTGCGAGGCTTGCGGGAAGATCTTCAGCCACAAGCACCACCTGGTGATCCACCGGAGAACCCACACGGGCGAGAAGCCCTTCACCTGCGCCGAGTGCAGCAAGCGCTTCACGCAGAAGCACCATCTCGTCAGCCACCAGCGCATCCACACCGGGGAGCGCCCCTTCGCCTGCTCCCACTGCGGGAGGAGCTTCAAGGACAAGATCACCCTGAAGCTGCACGTCAGGCTGCACACCGGGGAACGGCCCTTCGCCTGCGCCGAGTGCGGGGAGAGCTTCCGCCTGAAGAAGGTGCTGCTCACCCACCAGCGGGTGCACACGGGGCAGGCCCCACTGATCTGCACCGACTGCGGGAAGACCTTCAATCACATGCAGCGCATGGCCATGCACCAGACGAGCCACCACGCCCAGCGGGGGCCGTTCCGGAGAGCTCAGCGCGGGGAGAGCTGCTCGGGGAAACCACAGCTCCGACTGCCCCAGCCGGGCCAGCCCGCCGGCTGCTCGGCGCACACAGCGACCTTCCAGCCACCAGCACCCGGGGGCTCCCCCTACGCAACAGGCGGAGTAAGTCCTGGGCCTCAATTATACACGGAGCCGGCCCCGCGGGATCGCCCCGAAGAAACCATCTGACTGCGGGGAGCAGGGAAAGCGTCACTCACGAGCGCAGTCCGAACCCCCCCAGTCCTGTGCGATGGGAGTCATTAATCTGCAGCACGGCGCCGGCGTGAGACAGAAACCGAAGACAGCCCGGCTGTCCCTGCATAGCCTGGGTCAGTTCCCCTGTAAAACGGTCCGTGCTCGTCAGCGGGAGAGACGCTGCGGAGACGGGAAATAACCCCGCTGTGACAGCCTGACCCTGCGCTGCCCTGTGTGCCTCCTGCTGCTGCATTGGCCACACCATTTCAGTGTCCCGGCGGGCTGGCCCAGCGCCACCTGCGCCCCACCTCCCCGCCACGCGCTGGGGATGTCTGCGCCCCGGCTGCTTTACCCGCTGGCTTGTGTCCAGGTCACGCACGTAACAATAGTAGTGCAGACAGCGCCGCGCATGCGTCAGAGCAGGCTGAGAACGTCCCCAGGGGCTGGGCTGGGCTGGGCTGGGCGTGTCCTGCCCGCACGCAAGCCCCTGCGTCCCTGCGCTCAGCGCTATCGTTCCCCAGGCTAGCTGGCCAGGCCCAGCTTGTGCTGTGTAGACAGACCCGCAGCCTGCTAGCAGGGGGTGCAGGGAAGCAGTGCTGGAGATCCTCGAGATCCCTTTGTCTGGGCTGCAGGGCGGGTCCCAGCAGCTGCTCTGTCACGTGCTTAGCGCTGCGTGTACCTGCATCAGGCAGCCAAGGAGCGTCCACCTGCCCTGCCTGAGCCCCAGAAGAGCGAGAAGGAAAATATTTAGCACTTACACAGCAGATTCGCAGCCCGCTGCCCACTCAGAGACACACGGAGGGCTGTGGGAAGTGGGAGTCTCTGGTGTAGGACACGTGCGGACGGAGGAGTCACAGCGTTGCAGAACTAGAGAGGGACAAG